GAAATCTCCGAGGAGAACCGTCCAGGGCGATCACTCCATTCACGTGAAATTCAAAAGCAGGCGAAACCAAACAACACTGTCTTTAGGGACAGATCTGGGTGTGGTCAGAGTGAGAGCAGCGCTGACAGAAACGCCGGGGCGGGGGTCGCCTGGGGGGGGCCGGGAGGGGGCTGCTCGGAGGTGTCGGCCGACGCTTGGCACCCCTTGCAGGGTGGTGGCTATTAACTCATTTACTAAACCAAGCTGTCGTCTCCAAGGCGTGCGTCTGTTTCACACGTGTCTTGTGCACACATCATCGTAAACCAGCACAAAACAGACAAATAACACGCCTTCCCCGTTTCTGTCTGGGGGCGCGGCTCCCCGGGGAGGGGAGCGTGTGGATCTGGGGAACCTCCACTTCCAGCCGTTACGGGCCGCAGGCTGCTTTTCTAGAAGCTGTAGGCGATGAACCGCAAACGCTCGTCTCAGCCTGAAAGGCTACGCCTTGTGTGGAGGCCAGGCTTCGTGGTCCAGTTGGGGCTGTGACAGGTGACAGCCGACAGCCAAGAGGATGCAGGTGCTGGGTCCAGGAACACGGTGGCTGGATCCAATGCCCCCGTGGTCCCCGTGGCTCTGAGGCCCCCAGTCCTGTGGGAACTAGCATTTCTGCATCCTGGATGGTAAGCGCCTTTGTACCCCTCTGACCAGCCCCTCCCTGAGCCCCAGAGCCCCGCCTTTCAGCTCCTCCCCCATCAGTAAACGCCACTGGTGTTACCTGCTCTGTATCACCTTTTCCCAGAAAGCCGGGCCTTTTAAATCCCACACATGCGGGCACCAACTGTCTCAGTTTGCCCACAACTGGGGGGTTTCCAGGATGTGGTTCTTTAAACGTTAAAACTGGGAAAACTCTGGACAAATCAAGACAAGTCAGTGATTTCGCCCAGACTTTCTCACTCAGATTTAAGGCCTTGGTTTTGTTCTGACCGATCTCATATCATAGCAGCACTCCAGACCCCTTGCGTGACTCCTGTAAAGGCTCAGTTTATTTTGGAGGGGTCCGGGGAGGAAGGTTTGACCTCATCCTAAGCAGCCATCCCACCAAGTAGCTCCCCCACCCGCCTGCTCAGTCACGGCTCTTGGGGGACGGCAAGGGTTTTGGTGGGTGACCCTGTGCCGGTCTCTAATCTTGCTGAGGGCAGGGTAAACTGGTAAAACAAGGCTTCGAGGCAGTTGTTGCTCTTCAAATGGCTGGGAGTGAGAATTAAGGAAAATGCTTTTTAAACTGGAGAATCATCCATCCTATCAGATTCCTGTGCCAGCCGCCTGTAATCAGAGTTGGCTGCCTTGTCTGATCTTGACACAGGGGTGATCAGAATTGCCGGGAGGGCTTCTTAAAGAAGACGGCTGGGCATCACCCCCAGCGTGTCTGATGCTCAGATCTGGGGTGAGGACTGAGGGTGCACGCCTGACAAATGCAGGTGATTCTGCTGGTCCGCGGCTGCACTTTGAGAACTATTGTCAGAGCGTGAAGGGAATTAAGCCTAGACTAGGGGTTGTCAAACTTTTTCTACAAGGGGTCACATAGTAAATATTTCAGGCTTTGTGGCCACCTGGTCTCAACGACAGCTCAGTGATGGTAGCACCACAAGCAGCCAGAGGGAATCAGTAAATGAAGGAATGGGCATGGCTGTGTCTCAATAAAACTTTATTTACAAAAATAGCTAGTGGGCCAGTTTCAGCTCATGGGCTGTAGTTTGCCAACCCCTGGTCTGTGACTTTCAATAGTCTATGAGCTTCTCTGCATTCTCCCTCCATGAGCAGGTGACTTTGAGCCCGTGGACAGCAGGTCATGGAGGTCACGGAAAGGGGCGTTTATTTGGGATACAGAGGCAGTGTAGCAGAGTGTATTAGTCAGCCTTGGCTGCATAATGAGCATGCTAATAATTACTGGCTTGCAGCAACAACTATCTTATTATTAGTCATCAGTCGGTTGGCTGGTGATTATTCTGGTCTGAGCTGGTATGGTCTCTGCTGGGCTGTCCTGTGCATCCGGGGCCACCTAGCAGACCACCTACTGCTGGGTAAATTGCACACACCCCCCTCCCCACGTGTCCAGCAGGCGGCTGGCTGTTGATGGGGTGCCTAGTTCTCTCCCACGTGGTCTCTTGTCCCAGAAGCTAGCTTAGGCTCTTTCAAACGATCACCTCAGTGGCGTGAGATGGGGCTCAGTTCCTCCTGACCCGTGACTCCTCACACAACACCATCTCTATCATGTGCTCCTGGTCACAGGGGCCCCGCGTCCTGCCCAGATCTGAGAGAGGGAAAATAGTCTCCCTTAGAAGAAACTGAGACTGGTGTCCCCAGCCCCACGCTGCCACGGGGAGGCGTGACTTGACTTGGGACTGTGTCTGGCTCGAGAAAGTCGCCTCCTCGAGGTGGTGGTTATTAAGGCCTCAGTGACACCCCGCAGGTGTAACAGTAGTGGGCGCACGGGAAACTGAAGACCCCCAAGGCCATCTGGAGTGCGCCCTCCGCGTGCCTCTCCAGGGACGGCCCCGCCCAGCCTGGGCTCTGGACTTTCGATGTCTGCTCCCCCGTCTGGAATCCGTCCAAGTCTTCCAAGACCAGCTCGTCACGTGGCCTCCTCTGTACAGCCCTCCTCACACTGAATGAATCTATAAAACAGATTTGTTTCTCCTTGAAGCTGGGAACAACTCCTTGAGAGCAGGACTAGTGTCTCGCTCAGAGCCCGCAGCCCTGTCTTCAAGGCCATCCAAGTGCAACCCCTTTAAATCACGTGGGGCGTGTTTCTCCCCATTTTTTATTAGAAACATTGAAAACCAGCCAGGGTCATGTCCCACTAATGGAAGAACTCGTCACAGGGAGCGTGTAGACACTGCGCACCCTGCTCCCCCGCAGCCGCAGGCGGTCTCCCTTTGGGACACTGCCGCGTGGAGCCTGGGTGATTTTCTTAAGGAAAACAAACAGTAGCCACGTTCTGTCAATCCTGTGTATTTCCCAGGAGGAGAGCGAATCCCGCCCTGATCCCGCTCAGCGGGGGACGGGGACGAAGGAGGGCACCCCCAAGACTCTTCCTCCACGCACAGAGACCCAGAAACTTGCCAAAGCAATGCGTGAATCAGTATTCCATACATGCACGGTTGTGGGATTGAATTTGGTTTTATTAGAAAAAGGAGACAAGATTGTAGGAATTTTGCAGAGGCAGCAGAGACATCATTTTCCTCCGCCAAGGACCATTTTGAGACGGATTGCTTTGTTCTATTTTATTTAGGTTTCACTGAAGCATAGTCGATTTACAACATTGTGTCAGTTTCAGGGCACGGCGAAGTGATTCAGTCGTGTATTTATATTTTCAGATTGTCTTCCATCACAAGTTATTACAAGGTAATGAATGGGGCTCCCTGCGCTGTACAGGAAATCCTTGTTGCTCATCTGGTTTTGTAGTTTGTACCTGCTAGTCCCAAACTCCTAATTTATCCTCCCCCCTCTTCCTCTCCCCTTGGTCACCATACATTTCTTTCCTACCTCTGTGAGGTTGTCTCTGTTTAGAGTCACTTGCATCATTTTTTGGATTCCACATGTCAGTGACGTCACATGGTGTTTGTCTTTTTCTGACTGGCTTATTTCACTTAGTTTGCTCATTTCTAGGTCCATCCATGTTGCTGCAAATGGCAATATTTTATTCTTTTTTATGGCTGAGTAGTATCCATCTAATGCTTAAAAACCACATCGTCTTTACCCAGCCGTCTGTCGATGGACTCTCAGGTGGCTTCCGCGTCCTGGCTGTTGTGCATAGTGCTGCTACAACTATTTTCACCCTACAGTCACAGCTCGGTGTCCCAGCAGGGCCAGTGGCCACAGGCAGCCCAGTTCAGTCCTGCAGCAGACCTACCGGGCTCTGGCTTCAAGGAGCTCAAGCTGAGGAGGAGACGCAGGCAGAGAATTTCACGGGCAAGGATGTGAGGACCAAAGGCAGGGATGAGATCAGTGTAGTCAGTGGACATGACCACTTGCTGCAAGAGTGAAAGGCCATCCTTGAGAATGGTACTTAATCAAAAGCTTTGAACAGTGTTTAAAAATGGTGGCAAATCATACATCTGACAAGGGTCTAGTGTCTGGAATCTGTAGAGAGCTCTTATAACTCAAAAATAAAGGCAAACAGCCCAATTAAATATGGGCAAACTAGTAAATACAGGGAACTCTAATTCGAAAAGATACATGCACCCCAGTGCTCACAGCAGCACTCTATACAGTAGCCAAGACATGGGAGCAACCTAAATGTCCATGGCCAATGACTGGACAAAGAAGCCATGGTGTATTTATACAATGGAATACTACTCAGCCATAAAAAAGAATGGAATACTGTCATTTGCAGCAACATGGATGGACCTGGGGATCGTCATTCTAAGTGACGTAAGCCAGAAAGAGAAAGAAAAATACCATATGGTATCACTCGTATGTGGAATCTAAAAAAAGAAAAAAGACACTAATGAACTCATCTACAAAACAGACACAGGCTCACAGACGTAGTAAATGATTTTATGGTTACCGGGGGGAGAGAGGGTAGAAAGGGACAAACTGGGAGTTTGAGATTTGCAAATACGAAATAGCACATATAAAACAGATAAACACGATTCTTCTGTAGAGCACAGGGAACTATATTCCGTATCTTGTAACCTGCAATGAAAAAGACTGTGAAAACCAATACATGTGTGCATGTGTACGACTGAGACGCTGCGCTGTACACCAGAAAATGCTGCATTATGACTGACTACTTCAATTTTTTAAGAAGTGGGCAAACCACTTGGAGAGAGATTTCTCTCCAAACGGATGATGTACAAATAAGCACGTGAAAAGCTGCTCGACATCCTGAGCCAACAGGGAAACAAATTAAAATCACAACAGAAGCGTCACTCCACACCCACTAGGATGGCTGCTAAAGAAAGGCCGACAATGACAGGTGCGCAGGGAAGCATGCGGAGAACCTGGAGCCTGGCACGATGCCGGCAGGGATGGAACACGCGGCTGCCGCGGAGGACGGCCTGAAGTGCCTCAGGACATTTACTCAGAGGCTGCCTGCCGTGTGACCAGCGCCCTCCACCGGACACCTCCCGGGGGAATGAGGCGCGTCCACGTAAACGCTTGTACGCGAGTGTTCAGGCAGCACTGCCCCACGCCACGTGGCATCTCGGGGCCAGAGACCGCGGAGCCCACCTCATCCGGACCCCACGGGCAGTGACTGCAGGGGAAGAGAGGAACTCAGGCTCTAAGAGGAGGTGGACGAGGCTGGGGAAGCCCCAGCCGGTGAAGGAGACGCCGCCTGTGCCGGTGCCTCAAGCGGCTTCGCGCGGAAGCGGCGACGTGCAGAGGCGCCTCCTGGGCTGCGGGCGCCTCCGCTTTCTGCCTCCCTGGACCTTCTCCCAGCAGTCCCTGGGCTCTGGGAGAGGTTCGCTCTTCCTGCTGCTTCTGCAGGTCTGTCCTGCGGGTGAACAGTTCCTTCTCTCGGCTAGCTGAACGTCCCCTCCAATTCCCCTCACGCCTGGCCTTACGCTCCTGCTTCTGTGTGCTGGCACCGAATGTTTAAAAAAATTTAATCTCAGAATAGTCGGTTTACACTGCTGTGCTACTTTCTGGGGTGCAGCGGAGCGATCACTTAGGTGTACATTCCTTTTCGTGTTCTTCCTCATTATAGGTCATTACAAGGTCCTGACTACAGCTCCACGTGCTGTGCAGTGAGCCCTTGCTGTTTTCGTCGTCTACGTACAGTAGTTAGTATCTGCCAGTCCCGAGCTCCCAGCTCATCCCTGCACCCTCCTCTGATACTGAGTGTCTAAGGTTCACAGGTGAGGCCCAGCCCCATAAGGACCTGAATAAAGCAGGGAAGCAGCCCTTTGTGGAACGTTCCGCCCTGGGGCCAGCAGCCCTGCCCCCTTTTCCAGCGGCCGGCAAGCCCAGGGAGTCGGCCCATGGGAGGCAAATCCCACACCCCCCATCTGAACCAGTTACATTCCACTCAAGACATCCCAGATGAAAATGCTCGGGCTCAGAGACAGCAGGGCAGTTACTCACGCCCCAGTTTCCCTCCTTTTGCTAAAGCCATGGAAACAGAAGCCTCAGATGATTAAAAAAAAAAGAGGAAAAACCACATTGTAGTCACTCTAAGTTCAAATGCTTTTGTAACAAGGGGAGAACAAGACCCGCTGGGCCAGCCCCCGAGTTAATTAACTTCCACGCTGCAGACTCACTGAGCTGTGGGAGGAGGAGCGTGGATTCCGACCCTCCCAGGGCTGCCCTCGGCCGGCGGGAGACCGGGGCAAATCCCTTGCCCAGCAAGGTTTATCATCCTAATAACATGTAGCCATGATTGTGGTGGTACTTGCCACGCTATCTCACCTCTGCAAGACACTGGCGAGCAAGTTGGGGCGGCTGCTCCTGCACCATGAGGTGCCCTGTCCGTCTGAGACCTTCCTGCGGCACGGCCAGCTGCCTCGGTGCCCTGCCTTTGAGAAGCTACACGTGGCTGAAGACACGCCACCCACCCACAGACAAGCAGGACACCCACAGAAATGCCAGAAGTCCCCCTTAAGGGACTGATCAGATTCCAAAGCAACTCAACAGGCACTAGCTGGGCCCTGGCGGTGGGGCAGGGTGCTGGCGGGGAGATGCGGACCCTGCCGGGGCAGGTGGCGGCCCGCTGGGGAGACTGGGGCAGATGCGAGCTGCAGAGCGCAGCAGGGACGGGGCCTGGACGCGGCAGCGGCCCGTCTACCGACATCTCTGGAAAGAGATTTGGCAAACTGTTTACGAGCCTTTAAACCGTCCTGGTCTTCCAACTGGTCATTCAAAGGACGTGTGGGATTGACAGCCAGTCCAGAATTCAGGACGGAGTGAGGCGGGTCATCACAAGGTTATTCACAAAGCCCTCAAAGACTGGGGCTAAGTCTTCACACTAGAGGACAGTTAAAGGGACCGGCAGCCCCAGGTGGCGGGGCCCTGTGGCCGCGCAAAGCGCCTCCCCGTGAGGGCGACGTCCGGGGGAAGTTTAAACGCTCAGAAAAGGGTGCGTCTCTATATAATATTTTATATGCACGCACATGATAGACACGCAACTAGACTGCACGCCACTGGAATTGTACCTTGTGTGGCAGTTTTCAGGGCACCAGACAGAAAGGGACCCAGGGACCCCTGTGTTGATTGTAACAGCTGGAAGGTAAATGTCTGCTGTTTTTTTAAATCATTCTTTTTTTTTTTGAGCTTTTTATTTTTAAATTTTTTTTACAATTTCACATTTTCATTTTTTAAACTCTTTTTGTGGAGGAGGGAAAAAGTTTTTATTTACATAGTTTAATGGAGGGACTGGGGACTGAGCACAGGACCTCACGCATGCCAAGCACATACTCCACCACTGAGCTACACCCACACCTCAAATACCACTACCCACAAGGGTTGCCTGTGGTTGGTGGGGTTTGGGGAGGGCCTTCCCCTCCCTCACGGTTTTCTCTATTTTCTCAAATGAACGCAGTCTTTCCCTATCTGAAAAAAAAATTAAAATCACCTTTAAAGTGAAGAAAACATTTATCATGGTAAAAGCTTAGTTAAAATGCAGTATTCAAAAGAGAAAATGGATTCATTTATTTTGAGGGTAATTAATTCATTTTTAAAAAACCATGCATGGAAATAATTTGAAACGAGTATCAAAATATAACGGGACAGGGGTGGGTGTCGCTCAGGATGGAGCGCCTGCTTGGCGTGTGTGGGGCCCTGGGTTCAATCCCCAATACTTCTATCAAAAAGAGAAAGAATATAAAAATATGTATATACACATATATATATACTAGGGCAGTGGTAGGTGGTCAGACCACAGTGGGGTTGTGGTTTTTCTTCTTCATACTTTTTCGTGTGTTCTGAACTTGCAAAGATGTGGAAGAAATTGTCTAGAAGTCCAGTGGAGGGAGGGGCTGGTTTCGACCTGGGAAGCCTGTGAGGGCTCCCAGGAGAGGTGGCGCTGGGGCTGGGGTGGGGGGCCTGGCCATGACACCAGCACGTAGACCATCAGGGCCACCGTGCCTCCTGGGGTCCCTGCCCAGAGCCCCTGCCTGGGGGAACGGGAGAAGGGCTGCTTCAGAGGACCCCAGTGAAGCAAGTCATGGGCCACACCAGACACAGGAAAAAGCCTTCACCCACGGCAGCCTTCTGCCTTCTCCAGGGCAGCCACGTGTAGACAGACGGCCACCTGAGAGCCCGGCCGCTCAGCACCGTCTCCCCTGCCTCCCCATCCAGGTCACGTGTGGTGCGATGAACGTGCCCCTCATCTGTGACTACGGCTCGGGCATCAGTAAGGTGGGCTTTGCGGGGACAGAAGCGCCCCTGGCTGTGTTCCCCACCATCCTCGGGAAACTTCGCCATGATGTGAGTGCTGGCGCCCTCCCCTGGGGCCCCGCCCCCTCCCACGGGGTGACCAAGTCACGTCCTCAGAGCAGAGGTGGCCTCGGTGAGCAGGGCACCAGTGTCACGGGGCAGTGGGCTTGGGGCGGTGCAGGGGCCGGGCCCACCCAGTTTCTGCTTCAGCAGGTCGGGGGGAGGGGGCCCAGGGTTTGTATTTCCCACCACTTCTCGGGGGTGTCGGTGCTGCTGGCCCGGGGACCGCACTTGGACAACCGCGGACCTGGAAGGAACAGACAGATTACATACGTCAGCAGAGCAGGCGGCTGTCAAAACTAACTCGCGCTGCCCGTCTCTTCACTGTTTGATTTTCCCACTTTTAAGAAGGGTGTGATTTTGAGAAGGAGCTCTACCCCGAGGGGAAACAGCCGTCCGCGCGCTAAGTGCCGAGCGACACAGCCCCCGTGCCGGGAAGACACTAGGGAGGGGTGGGGACTGCGGCCAACACTCTGTTTAAAGGGCATTCTCTGCTGCCTAGTGACGTGCAGGAGAGTGGGCCCCATGTTGCCAGATCTTCCTGCTCTTCCAGAGAATTTAGAAATTCGGAGTTTTTATTGTGATAAGATATGTATACAATTGAATTTACCATTTTAACTTTTTTTTAAGTGAAGAGCTCAGTGGTACGAAGCACATTCACACTGTTGCACAACCATCCCCTCCATCTGTCTCCGAAACCTTTTCTTCTGCCCAAACTGAAACTCCGTCCCCATCAAACACCACCCCGCTCCCCACCCCGACCCCAGCCCTGCCAGCCCGCTTCCTGCCTCTCTGGCTTCGACTCCTCTGAGGATCTCCCTGTACAGTGTCGGTGCAGAGTTCTCGTTCACAGAATGGGGTTAACAACAGTGCATGTGTACCTGAGTCGGTCGGAAGGTTAATGGGATGGGGGTGTGAACGTTTAGCACAGTTTCTGACCCGTGGAGTGTCTGGCAGTTCCCTCCCGGGCAATAGAGGGGCTCTCACCTTGAGAACCTTACCTTAATTACAGCTGCAAAGACCCTTTTTCCAAATGAGCGCAAGCCCACAGGCTCCAGGGGGCCTATCTGTCGGGGACACCATCCAGCCGAGCGCGGAGTGACCACGAGAGGCCTCAGCTCAGCGCTCAGCCCCTCCTGCAGGTGGGCCCCACCCAGCACCGCCTCCTCCCCAGGCCCTTAAAGGAATCTCATCTGCAAGGACCTTATTTCCCACCGGTTCTGGGGGGCCACCATTCAACGCACTGCAGCCGCCTTCTGCCATGGTGCCTCCGCTCTGCTCGGTGATGCCGGGGCTGGGGCTCCCCTGTCGATGGCTCTCCCGAGCACCTGCAGATGGGAGGCACTAGAGGCCAACTGGAAGGCGGAGGGAGCAGCCGTCTTCCTTCCTGCCAGCAGCTCCAAGGGCTTGCTCTACCCTCCCTCCACCCGCAGTGCCCCGCGGCCGCGTCAGAACAGCAGGGCAGAGCCCCGCTTCCAGCCCTGCGGGGCCTCCTCTGCGCTCTTGTTCTGCAAGCCCGAGTTCCCGGTGTTCCCGCAGCCAAGTGGCCGTTGGGTGGTCCTACTGTGCGCTGCCTCAGTGGTCCCTGTTTGCGCTTTCAAACTCCCAACACTGTGTAACCACCAGCTGGTGCTCAGTTCCTCTGTTTGGAATCCTTCGTGTGGCGTCTTGCCCCTTCAGGTCTAATACTTTGTCCTGCAAGGTCAAAACCTGACATTGCTCCGTGGAACATTCCACAGCCCCAGGAGAGGACGTGACATCTGTTAGCTGTGCCAAGCCCTCTACTGCACAACAGGAAACAGCGTGTCTATAAAGTAGGTTACACACGTGGGGCCGCGTAAGATCACAGCGAGGAAAATCAAATTCCTCACCGAAACAGCAACGAGTGACCAAGATGAATGATCAGGCAGTGAGCCATCTGCCAGAACCGCAGGCCGCCGGGCTGTCTCTCTCCATTTTCTGTGAGGCACCGCGGCTGCCTCGGGGCCGGCCCCCTGGGCGGCAGGAAGTGAGTTTCTGTCTCTAAGAGGCAGGGGCACAGGACAGGGTGCTCTGCGTGGACTGGCATCTCAGCCAAGCACCGTCAGCCCCTCCTGTGCACTTCGGTGCCGCAGCAGGTAGCAGTGAGACCCCACGTGGGGGGTCCTGTGGCCCTGGAGGAGCAGCACAAGGCTGCGCCAGGTCACTCAGTCCCTTGTAACCAGAGCAGTCGTCAGACCCGAGCACTGTCCGTGCGTATTTCAAGCAGCAGCCTCAAACCAGGATGACACCGCTCCTTCCTCACCCTCGGGGGGGCCCCTAGTCCCCCTCCCTCCTCACGATGATCAGGGTGAGCTGAAAACTGTCCTTTGCCTGAGTGTGTGTCCTTTCAATTTATAAATATGTTCCCAGCCACAGTCCCCCTTGACTCGATGCCCAACCACGCAATGGTTGTGGGTGCAGGGACCAGCAACCCCCAAGGACCAAGCAGGGGGCAGAGCTCAGAGCGACAAGCAACTGGCCCGGGGCTCAGAGCTGTGCCTCTCAGCCCAAGTCCAAACCTCTTCTGCCTAAAAGACAGACTCCTAAGAGGTCGGAGCTCTGTGCAGATGAGCTGTGGTGGCCTCAGGAATGGACCTCTCTCTGAGATGCACTGCCCCCTTGCAAGGTGAGCACCATAGCAGCCTGGCATCACTGCCAGGCGGACCCCGGGCACACCACCCCTGCACTGGCGCACCGTGACCCCACGGCCATGCTTCCCACAGACTCTTCACTGACAAATGAGCCCAGTAGGAACACCCAGGCAGACCCACTTCCAGGAGACACGGGACCCCTCTGATGAATGAATGACTTGGTCTCCAGAACTCCCTAATGGCCTCGCCCACTGCACGGTGTTCCAGGACCCCCACCCAGCCTTGGACTTGGAAAACAGACCAGTGTCTCTCCCAGCCTTGCCCGGAGCCCTCCCCACGCCCCCTCCGGTTCCCTAATGAGATCCCCAAACTTTAATCTCCTCTTGATGTCTGCTTCTTGGTGGACCCAGATCTGGCTGACTCTCAGATCCTTTCTGAATGATAGAATGAATGGTTTAATCTGCATAAAAGTAGGTAGATTTATCTTTCTAAAAAATAACAGAAATTAAATTAAATTGCAGACTTCCTCCACTCACTTTCCAAAGCAAACCTAGAAGTAGTGCCTCTCCCTCCACGTTTCCTTTCTCCACCACTTCTCTTTGTCCCCCTTAAGTGTCCTCATCCACAAAGTGGGTGAGAGAGGGTCCCAGCAATGTTCCCTCAGGCGCACTTTTTCCTTGCAGGTCATTTGCTGAAAACTCTTAGTGTTGTTTTGAAATCGTGCCCAGGTTTGAAAAGGCCATTGATGGCAGCACTGTGACCCAGAGCCGTACCCCGGAGGCACATCAGGGCTCCCCATCTGCACCGACAAAGTGAGGTGAGTTGCCCCTGAGAGCGGACCTGTGCTGGCCTGTGTCTTGCAGAATCTGTTGGTGGGAATGGAAGAGGAAGACTGGTTTATTGGAGATGAGGTTCAGAAAAATCGAGGGAAACTCAATCTGCAATATCCCATCTCTCGGGCAGCTATCACCAACTGGGACAACATGGAAAAGGTGGGCTGCAGCTTCTGCTGGGTGGGACCTGCTCACAGGGGAGCCCTGCCGCCTTGGCACCTGGGAGGGGATGGACCGCCAGCCTGCAGGGCCATCTCCTGGCCCTGGTCCAGGCAGACACTACGTCACAGTACTGACCGCATGGGTTCCAATCAGAGACCTGGGTCTTCACCACTTACATCATTTGGGACAAGTAACTTGGCTCTCTGGCCCTCAGTTTCCTTATCTGTAAGAAAGGGGTATAATTTTTCCTACCCACAGCACTGGTGTGAGGAGTAGAGGAGATGGTGGATAAAAAGTCCTTAATCCACTCCACGCCTATTAGGGTGGCTATTATTTAGAAACAAAGAAACAAAGCCCAGAAAATGACAAATGCTGGGGAGAGGGAGAAGTTAGAAAATTGCAACCCTCAACTACTGTCAGTGGGAATGTAGAATGTGCAACCACTGTGGAGAACAGTATGGCGACTACTTGCAAAGTTAAGCTAGAGCTGCCACATGGTCCAGCATTCCTCCACCTGGGTGTGTCCCCAAAGAACTGGAAGCAAGGCCAGTACACTCGTGTTCACGGCAGCATGATTCACAACAGCTAAAAGGTAGAGACCACCCAGGGGTCCATCAAGGGATGATTGGATAAGCCAAATATGGCCCACCCATGCAAAGGAATGTTATTCAGTTCTTTTTTGTATATATATTCTTACTGAAAATTAGTCAGTTTACAACATTGTGTCAATATCTGGTGTACAGCATAATATTTCAGTCATAAATGAACATACATGTATTCGTCTTCATATTCCTTTTCACCATAAGTTAATACAAGATCTTGAATATAGTTCCCTGTGCTATACAGTATGAACTTCTTTATCTATTTTATATACATTGGTTAGTATCTGCCAATCTGGAACTATTAATTTATCCCTTCCCACCCCCTTCTTCCTCTGGTGACCATGTTTGTTTTCTATGTCCGTGAGTCTGTTTCTGCTTTGTTAATAAGTTTGTTTGTCTTTTTTTTTAGATTCCATTTATTAGTGATATTACATGGTATTTTTCTTTCTCTTTCTGGCTTACTTCACTTAGAATGACAATCTCTAGGTTTATCCATGTTGCTGCAAATGGCATTGGTTTATTCCTTTTTATGGCTGAGTAGTATTCCATTGTATAAATACACCACAATCTCTTTATCCAGTCATCTGTTGATGGACATTTAGATTGTTTCCATGTCTTGGCTATTGTGAATAGTGCTACTGTCAACACTGGGGTGCAGGTGTCTTTTTGAATTAAGTTTCCCTCTGGATGTAAGCCCAGGAGTGAGGATTGCTGGATCATATGGTAAGTTTATTTTTAGTTCAGTTTTAAAAAGGAAGTAAATCCTGACACAGGCTACAATGAAGATGAACCTTGCGGATATTATGCTTGGTGAAATAAGCCAGTCACAAAGGGACAAATCTTGTATGCTCCTGCTTACATGAGGTCCTTAGAGGAGCCGAATTCACAGAGACAGAACGTAGGATGGTGGGGCCAGGGGCTGGGGGAGGGGAGGGGGAGGGGAGTGCATGTTTAAGAAAGACAAAGTTTCAATTTGGGAAGATGAGAAATCTCTGGAGATGGATGGTGATGATCTTTGTACAGCACTGTGAATGTACTAATGCCACTGTACTGGACACTTAAAAGAGGTTAAAATGGTGAATTTTACATTATGTGTATTTCACCACAATAAAGAAGAACCCCTTGGCCGGGCGTAGTAAGGATGTGGGAAATGCAGGTAACTTGAACCACTGTCTCAGTAAGTGAGGGTTCTGCTTAGAATTTCCATATGTGGTCGAACAGGTTGCCTGCTGCCTTGGGAGATGCATCAGTTATCTAAGCTGTGTAACAGACCAGCCCCTGACTTAGAAGCTGAAAACAGCAATGGTCCCCTATTACCTCTGGGAGTTTTCATGGGTCAGGAATTTGGGAATGGCTTAGCTGGGGGTTTCTGGCTTGGGGTCTCTCATTAGCAGCAGGCAGATGTCAGTTGGGGCTGCATCATATGAATGCTCAACTGGGGCTCGAGACCCCATTTCCAAGGTGGCCCTCTCACATGGCTGGCAAGGTGGTCCCTCTTCATGTGGGCCTCTGAGTAGGGCCTCTCCAACGTCCCCATGGTGTGGGGGCCAGCCTCCCCGGGGGTGGACACTCGGAGAGGCCAAGGTGGTGACTGCAGCATGCTTCTGCACCCCCCTCTCCTCAGATCTGGCACCACTCCTTTTACAAGGTGCTCCACGTCGCCCCAGAGCAGCACCCTCTGATGGTGACAGAGCCGCCTTTAAACACGATGGCCAACAAAGAGAAAGTGTCGCAGGTAAGAGGCCAGATGGCGGGCAAGGGGGTTGGGGAGCAGGCTGCAGGGAGGGCGGCTCCAGCCTCACACCCTGACGACACCCTCAGGAGAGACAGAGACATCGGGTGAGAGCTGTCCCCTTTGACATCTGCAGCAAGAGTGACAGCTGCCAGCAGACAGCTCACCAAGCAGTCAGGCATGGGCGTGAAGTTTCATCTGAATTATCTCGTATAGACCCACGCCCCCTCTGTGGGCAGGGCGATTAGTAGGCTCTTCGCACAGATAAGGAAATTGGAGCTTCCAGGAGCAGAAGTCATCTGGCTGAGGTCACCCAACGAGAGGCCCGCGGACTCACCCAGACCCCCGGGCCTGAGTCTGCAGCCCCGTTCTTTGCACTGAGGCCTGGTGTGTCCTGCCTGGAGGTCTAATCCTGACTTTGAAGACCCAGAACTCCTCCATCTCTGAGTGTCTGTCCCCCAGGAACGAGTTGGTGGTGTGTGCTGGTCGGGTTGCACCAGACTGAACTGGACTGAACTGGGTGGTGAAGCCCGTCATGGGCGCAGGCTGGTGAGGAAAAGAGGGTGCACCCCCTCTACAGACGGCAGAGTCCTCCTCCGGCTAGTGTGGTCCAGGTGGGGCGGGGGCCGCAGGGGCTGCTTAATGAAGGCATCGGCGGGCTAATGAAGTGGCAGCCAGGCTCCACCACCTGCCCCGACAGCCTGGAGCCCAGCAGTGTCTCTGCAGTGAGCTGTGACCCAGGGGGCCTGCCCGGCGGCCCCGGCACCACCTGCACACAGAGGAGACTCACTTTGTGGCCCAGAAACAGAGCCCCATCCATCACAGCGCAGCTGGGAGCTGCCGCCTCATTTAACAGCCCTGGGAGGGAGCCCGTGGATCATCTGCACGTGGACGGGTCTCAGAGAAGTGGGCCACGCTGGGCTCCGTGGGGACCCAGCACAGGCCTGAGGACAGCAGATACCGGCTTTGAGAGCGCCAAGGGCCCATCGGGGCCCTGGAGAGCTGGAGGAGAAGAGGGAGGGGCTGTCCCGCCCCCGGGGGAACATGCAGCTCCCAGAATGTCTTATTCAGGCTTCTTTGGAGAAACAGACCCAGGAGGAGATACACAAATGGAGGGAGGTTTATTAGCAGGAGCTGGCGCACGGCGCTCTGGAGGCCAGCAAGTCCCAGGGCCCGTGGCCAGCAGGACGGACCCCAGAGAGTGGCAGCGCACGCTCCAGTCCAAAGGCAGGAAACTGATGTTCCAGCTCAAAGGCCACCAGGCAGGGGGAGCTCCCTCTCACTTGTGGAAAGGTCAGGCCTTTTGTTCTATTGCGATCATCAACTGATTGAATGAGGCCCACCCACTTTGGGGAGAGCAATCTGCTTTACGCAGTCTATAGGCTTAAATGTCAGCCTCACCCAGAAACACCCTCGCAGGTGCATCCGGACTCACGTACGACTCAATGCCTGCCCCTCCGCAGCCCAGGCAGGTTGACACATAGATTCACCCTCCCTCAAACTGCAGAGCTGGTTATCCCACGGCCTGTCTTGGGCACTTCTCCACATCTCCTGGGCCTGCTGCCTGCCTTCCACTGTGGCTTTCTCCAAAATCACGCCCTAGTTGTCTCAGGAAACCAAAGCACACTCAAATGGGGAAACGCTGGTGCGAGTTTATTGGAGAGATGACATACAAAGCTGAGCCCAAGTCTTAGACAAGCCGCATAAGGGGGTGCAGAGCTCCGGGCTGGTAACTGGGAGCCGTGTCCCCACCCACCCTGGGCCTGAAAGAGCAGCAGGTGGGTACCAGCATCGGGAGAGGGCCTGGCAGGGACAGAGTGGGGACCTCAGCACTCCACGGCCCTCTCCCGCCTCCCTGGGCGCTCCTGGACCCGCAGGGGCAGAACCCAGTGGGTCACCCAGGGAAGGGGGGCCTGTGACTACAGCCCAGGACAGAGAGCGGTGCTGAAAGGTGGAAGCTTCTGGAAGCAAACGGGAGGCAGCCGGTGGCCTGCACTGGGGCACAAGGGATGCCACCTCGCTGGGGATGAATGGACTTCTCTGCATCTGCGGGCTCTGCCTTGAGCTGCCCCATCACACACCAGCCCTCCTAGCAGGGTGCCTTCCCAACCAATGTCCCTGTATCCAGCAGCCAACCTCCAGGGCTCCTCCCGGGGGCAGGAATGGACAGGGAAGTGCAAGGCTGATCTTCCTCCTGGAGTAAATCTGTATCGTAAGAGGATTTGTGGGGGCCGTGTCCCCAAAGAGAAGCCCGTGTACAGGGAAGGGCTCAGCCTGGCACTAAGATCCCTGGGTTTGGGCCCTGGCTCCTCCAATACGTGTGATCTCAGGGGGGTGACTGGTCCTCTCGGTGTCCTGGGTTCCTCATCAGGAGGATGACAATGGTATCACCTTGGGGGTCGTTATGGAAGCAAAAGAGAGTTAACACCGTAAAGCTCTTGTCACTGTGCTCAGCGCCCACTGAGCATCCTGTAAATGCTGCTGCTTCTTGTCCCTGGGCCTCAGTTTCCTCATCTATAAAATGGGAATGTGACCACAGGAACCCCGAAGACCCTTCTAAGCTCTGTGACCACTGGCTTTATGCCAGGCCAGGGGGACCGAGGGTTGGTTTTGGTCTTTGTGGGGTTTTTTGGGGGGTCTCTAATTGGATCATAAAAGCTGCCCTCCCACCTAGAGTTCACACCCTCCCTCCTCCACCAGGATCCAAATTCCAGGATTTAAATTCCAGGACCCACCAGGAGCCAACTGGGGGGCTCCTAGGAGTGGCGCTGACTCACAGGCTAGTCTGTGTGGACTCGTGTTTTCACTTCTCTTGAGTGAATCCCCAGCCCCCAGAAGCTGCTCCATGATAACCCACCGAGCGGGTAACACGCTTCATGAGTCACGTGCTCCGTGTTGTGTCCCAGCTGCGTGTGTAATGTTTTTTTTACAAATGCTGTCTTGACCCAGTTTTGGGGTCTTTGCTAGAGGCCGGTCAATTTCCCTCTTGGGCAGCTGATTAAGTCTGCACGTCTTACTGTCCTGTCACACCCCAGGGCCACCATACACCTGCCCTAGTCACTTCAGGGCCAGGTACCAGACAACTAGGGACAGGCGGCTCCCACGCCCAGGAGCCCACAAAATTATTCAGATGAGCCAGTCCCCAGGGATCTTGCCAAACCAGCAGACCACCCTGCTGGCCGTCCCTGAGCCGCTCCCACAGCTCCAGCTCACTGTCACGCTGTCCTTGGGATGGGGGTCCAGTGTCACACGCACAGGAGCGGAGTTCACCATCAGCTATAAAAGCAAGGCTGTGTCTCCCCTGTTCACTTCTTCTGCCCTGTATTCAGTCGGCATCCATCCAGGAGAGAGTTCATGACCAAGCCATGTCTGGACTAAGTGTTTGGCATGTAGTGAACACACAGTAACTGTTAGCTTTCATTGTTCCATGATGACCCCAAGTCCAAGGGCACCTGCCCACCCTTGGAGAGCGGGGAGAGGGCACAGCGGTGGCCGCACAGAGGCCCTGGGAACTCGGCGCCACCCCCACTGTGATAAAATGGTGCTTTATGAGATGACATGATTGATGCTCTCGGTCAGCATCATGGGGAGGGTGTGAGCCCATCTGACAGACTGGGAACCGGAGTGTCACAGAACCTGCCAGGGCAGGGCTGGGATGAGGAGTGGCATTCCTGACCCCATCGTCTGCGTCTCTCTGGGGGCCACGTGCCTCCATCCAGTGGGATCTCTGTGCCCACAGAGATAAGGGGAACCTCAGGCCCTGACTGCTGGCTTCTCCGCAGATCCTGTTTGAGACCTTCAGCGTGCCCGCCCTGTATTTAGCCAACCAAGGAGTCCTGTCCCTCTATGCCTCCGGCCAAACCTGCGGTGAGTGGCTCTGAGGAAGCCCCGCCCCGGGAGCCGCCCCCGCCCCCTCGCTGCCAAATAATAAAAGGAAAGAAAAATTCACGAAACTCCACCTGCCAGCCCTTTCCACCCCTCCTGGTCAAACATCTCCCTCCTGCTGACTCACTTTTTTTCCTGAACAACTTCACTGAAGTACAGTTGATGCGCTCCACGCTGCACGTGTGTGAGGTGCACCATTTGGTAAGATTTGACGTGTGAATACACCCTGAAACCACCTGCACAGTCAAGATGGGGAAACTTACCCCTAAATCACCCCTAAACATTTCCCTCCCACCCCCGCATGCTGCCCCTTCCAGCCTGTCCTCAGACAGCCACCAGTCTGTCCCCAGAAATGTGTTTGCATCTTCCAGAATTGTGTGTGTGTGTGACTATGCGGTGTGGACTTTTTTTGTATGGCTTTTTTTTTCACTCAGCATAATTATCTGGAGATTCATTCGTGCTATTGTTTGTATCACAGTTCCTCTCTTGCTGCCGCTGAGTGGTGTCCCACTGTGTGAACGTGCCATGCTGTGTGTTCACCTTTGAACGGACATTTGGGTTGTTTCCAGCTGGGGGCTTTTATAAATAAAGCTTCTATGAACACTTGTGGACAAGTGTCCGTTTGCAATGGACACGTGCTTTCATCTCGTTTGGGTAAATACCTAGAAGTGAAGGGGCGGGCTGTACAGCAGGTGAATGTTTAACTTTTAAAAAATCCCGCCAAACTAGTTTGCCAAGTGGTAGCACGCGCCATTTTGCATGGTTTCCTGCAGCCGTGTGTGTGAGTTCCGGTTCTTCCCCGGCACCTGGTGGGGTCAGTCTTGTTCATTCGTGCCGTTCTAATAGGTGTGCAGAGGTATCCCACTGTGGTTTTGACTTGCATTCCCCGGACGACCAAGAGGCTGAGCACCTTCTGTGTGTTTCTCTTCCATCCATGTATCTGCTTTGGTAGAATGTCCATCCAAAGGTTTTGCCCAGTTTTTTTATTGAGTTGCTCATTTTTGAGTTCTGAGAATTCTTTTTGTATTCTGGGTACAAGTCTTTTGTCCTATAAGTATTTTGCAAATATTTGCTTTCAGTCTATGGCTTGACTTTTCATTCCCTTACTGTGACTTTCAAAGAGCAAAAGCTTCTAACTTCAAGGAAGACCAGTTTACCAATTCGGTTTTTGTGGACCTTGTTTTTGTGTCATATCTAGGAAACACATGCTGAACTGTAAGATTTTCTGCTATGTTTTCATCTAGAGGTTTTATAATTTTAGTTTTATAAGTTTAGTTTTAGCTCTATGACTGATTTTGAATAAATTTTTGTACATGGCATAAGGGCCAATGAAGCTTTGTGTATGTGTATGCATAGACAGGTGCAAGCATTCCCACACTATCTGTTGAAAAGCCTTTGCTTTCTTCATTGAATTGCCTTTGCACTTTTTTTTGAAAATCAGTTGTCCATCCCCATCTATGTGTCGATCTATTTCTGTACTTTCTGTTCTGTCTGTCAGTTTGTCTAACTGGAAGTTAATACCACGTTGTCTTGATTATCGTAGCTTTATAAGTCTTAAAATAAGATAATTTAGTGCTATACTTTTGGTCTTTTGTTTTTGCTAATTTTTGGACCATTCTAGGTTCTGTATATTTCCATATGAACTTTAGGATCAATTTGTCAATTTCTACCAAAAAAGGCCTCTTTGAGTTTTGACTGGAATTGCATTGAACCCATAGTTCGATTTAGGGAGAACTGACATCTTAACAATGTGTCTTTCAGCTAATAAATGTGGCATATCTCCTAGGTCTTCTTCAATTTTCCTTGGCAATATTTTGTATTTTATAGTATATAAATCATGCGTATCTTTTGCCAGATGTACCTCTAAGTGTTTCATGTATTTTACTGCTGTTGTAAATGATGTCTTCATTTCAATTTCTGATTATTCATTGCTAGTATATAGAAACACAACTGATCTTTGTAGGTCGATATTATATCCTGGTGTTCTAACTAAACATATTTGTCAACACCGATGGCTTTTTTTTTTTTGTAGATTTCGTAGGATTTTCTACTTTGGCAATCATGTCATCTACAAATAGACAGTTTACTTCTTTATTTCCAAACTAAATGCTTTTTATTTATTTTTTTTCTTGCCTAGTTGCTTTAGCTAGAACCTCCAGTACAATATTGAATAGAAAAGGTGAGAGCAGACAGTTTTGTCTTGTTCCTGATCTCAGAGGGAAGACATTCAGCTGTACACCAGTAAGTGCAAGGATAACTGTGGGTTTTGGATAGAAATCCTTTATCAATTTGAGGAATTCACTCATATTCTTCATTTGGTGAAATTTTTTTAAAAATCATGAATGGATGTTGGAATTTGTCAAATGTGTTTTCTGCACCTATTGGTATGGTTATATGGGTTTTCTCTTTTAGTTCTTTAATACGCTGAACGACATGGATTGGTTTTTGAATGTTGAACCAACCTTACATTCTTGCACTAAAACCCACTTGGTCATGATGTATTATTCCTCTTCTATATTGCTGGATTCAATTTGCTGAAATTTTGGTTAGGAGTTGTGTGTGTGTGTTCATGAGACGTCTTGTCCTACCGTTTGCTTTTCTTCTGACGTTCTGTCTCCTGGGGTTCACTGCCATCTGTTGCCTGATATCCACTCTTTTGAAAATGGTTGTTCCCTGTATTTTGTCCTTGTTTTTGGGTGTTTCAGGTGGGAGAGGGAATCCACTCATCGATCCCTTGCTCAGTAGACGTGGAGGTCCTCACTTACTTTTGCTTCGTTGGTTACCAGTTTCAGGTTCTTAGTTACCAGATTCAACTCTGATCGGCCCTGGACGGCTCCAGCAGTCCCTGTTTCACACAGAATGAGGCCCTGTGTTCCCATCACCACATCACATCCTTTTGGACTAGCACAGAGAGGCCTAATTTGCCTTGCCAACTAACTTGCATGCCTCCTCCACTGTATTCAGACTCTCGTGGCATTTGAGTGCCACCCAGAGATTCCCGGCGCTGCATCAACGTACAGTCAATTCTTTGGAGAAAACAGTGTGAAGAGCAGTTTCCTTCTTCCTCTTCCATCTCTTTGGCAATTGCTGCTAATGCCAGTATGTCTGATTTAATAAGGAGATCTGCAGGCTGCTTCTCCAAGACAGTTGACCCTTGCCCTGACCCGGATAGATTCAGCACGTTCCCCTGCTGGGAAGGAAAGTTTCCTCCTCCGATTTTTGCCTTCCCTCCAGCTCTTTCCCCCTCTACAATCTCTTCCTGCAGACTTGACAATTGATAAGGAATGCCATGCACCCAGTATTATAATACCAGTGTGTTCTCTTGTTTAGGTATGACCCTTGAATCTGGAGAAGGAATGACATACTTTGTGCCCATCATGGACGGCTGTCCTTTGCATCAGTCAACCTTCCAGATGGACATTGCAGGCCAAGACCTAACCTTGTACTTCCTACGCCTGTTGTCGGAAAGTGGGCACTCACTGGTGAGCACAGGTAAGGCATTGCTATTCTTGATCAAGTAAACCAGACTTTGGGCGGTAATAGCCTCCTTGGCATGCTCCACCTATAGCCCTCAGTTGGCAAAGTGAAGGCTACCATTATCCGAGTTCTAAAAAACAACCTTATCTATGTTTAGGGGTATTTAGTACATTGATGATGACAGCAAGGCCGGTGGTGATGATGCTGGTGGTGATGGTGGTGATGATAGTAGTGATGATGAAGGCGGTGGTGATGATGGTGATGATGAGGATGGTGATGTCAATGATGGTGATGGTGGTGATGATAGTGGTGATGATGAACTAAGCTTCACAGAGTACTTACCCTCTGAAAGGCACCAGACTAAGACCACAGTTCACATAAATTCTCTCAGTGCTTCATGTTACAATACCCTGGGTGGAAACAAGCTTCGCCATTGCAAGAGGAATAAGTCTAGGAAGGGCAGGTGACTTCAACATCCCACAACTAGTAGGTGTAGCAGCTGGGAAGTGAACCCAAGGACTCCAGACAGGGATGTGCCTGTTCCAGTTTCCACCCACTTCTTGGACTAAATTCCCAGTTCGTAGAACCTTCATGACAATCATTCCCAACAAGCTCCTAGCCTGCATTGTACTTCCTGGTCTTCTTAGGCAAGAGGTGTGTGTCCAAACTACGCAAAGTACAAACCCTGAAGAATAGTGGCAATTAGAGGAAAGCAAGGGACAGTGATAGGACTGGCTGCGACTTGGCACGATCACTTGTGCAGTATGTCCCCTCATCCTTACGACAGTCCTGCGAGTGATGATTAATCCCATTCTTGAAGACTCGGAAAGGGGAGGTCTAAGAAGCTAAAGAACTTGGCAGAGGTGGAAGAGGTGATATTTGAACCTAGACTTGTCTCACCAGACCCCAAACTAGGCAAGGAAGGGGGAAATATCAGGGGTGTGCGGCACCCAGGAGCCAAGGAGGGAAGGGTGTGGCTAACAGCGTCAGCTGCTGAAGGGGAAGAAGCCAGGAAAAGAAAAAAGAGCATGGCAGAGTTTTGGAACAAGGAAGACACTGCAGACCTGGGCAAGAGCAGTCAGGTGGAGTGGGTGAAGGTAGAAGTCGACGTCTGCGGGCTGGAGAAGCTGTGGGATTTCCAGGCCAGCAGGTGCAGGGAGTTCCCTCTGACCCAAACTCAAAGGAATGACGGATGAAACATAAAACCACAACACCAGGAGACATAGCTGGGTCTGAAATTGCTGTCAGCCACCCGAACAGGGGAGGAGGCTCATCTTCCAGATACGTCCAGGGGAGGGGGCTTCAGCTGACAGTTACCCAGAGGAGGGGGCCGCTGTGAGCTGTTTGTAGCTGACTCTCATAGCAGGTGGCGGTGGGGTCACCGACGGCACCTTCTATATTAATAGGCAATGAAATTGAATTTGATTTTTCCAGCTTGGTGTATATAGCACACGGTGTAGAAAATGCAGATGCGTCTTAAGCACTGGTGTCTTGGTTCAGAACACCCCTAGTCCACCCTTGTCGTCCACAGACCCGGGCCCCCAGCATGCGTTGCGTGTAACAGGCACTAGAACACGAGACAAACACAGAAACTGCAGCTACAGTGGTGCCGTCCGATCCCCGCCCCCAGGAGCTGAATCTTCAGAAAGATGCTCCCCGGGGATGGGGGTGGGGGTGGGGAACGCTTTTGTGAGCTCGCCTGACGGTCAGACTCCACGTGGCCCTTTTTCTTTCTCCCACAGCTGACCGGGAGTTCGTCCGGGACCTGAAAGAGAAATGCTGTTACGTGGCTTCGGATTTTGAGAAAGAAAAAGTGGAAGCCAGCTCGCCCTCCTGTGCACAGAAGTGTCAGCTGCCTGACGGCCAGGAAATTGACCTCGGGCGGGAGAGGTTCTTCTGCCCCGAAGTGCTTTTCCAGACAGACCTCATAGGTGAGCCCGTGGGAGGGGGCAGAGGTGAACCCGGAAACGGACAGAAGGACGCGCCGTGAGGCAGCAGGAGACAGGGCAGCCAGGAGGGCGTTCTGCTTAGAGCAGCAAATACTAGCAAGGCGGCACTGCATTTCAGAAGGTCCTCTGATATCAGCCGTCACTTATTAAGCACCTGCTGCATACCTGTCACTTCGCCGACCTCGGTTGTATCCTTTAATCTTCTCCCCTGATCTCACATCATTTCATTTTGCACACGAAGAAACCCACTGGAGAGCGTCAGCTCATCTATCAAACGGGATTAAATACCCCGGACTGCAAGTCCTCTCCTTCATTACGTGTAATATTTATACTCTACCTACTTAAAAATAATTTGAAATATAAAAATCAAGACAATTAAAGCAGAAAAACAAAACCCACAGATTTTGGAAGGAACTTTAAACATGTGGCTGATCTAGAGATTTTAAATGATCATTGAGTTGACTAAGCTCTCTGGCAGACAGGGCAGAACAGGATAAAATGACGGATTATGAAATTCCCACACACTGGGAAAATGAAGGCTGCCGGGTAGTCCAAGAGAACCAGTGATTGCCTGGAAACAAACATTTTAAATAATTGGTTACATTAATAAGGGACAGAGGGGAATGCACGAGAAGCAGCCGCTTCCCCAGGATTAGTCCCTGCTGAGGACATGGCATTCATACCTAGGACAGGAGAGCTGGGGTCCTCTCTGTGTTCTCCGTCAGTCGGTGCTGGGGACGAAGGTTTAAAATGTGGCGCGCGCCCCCGGATTTCAGGCGGGTAAACGGAGACGTCGGGATGGAGCTCCTCCACCCACAGTGTGGAAGTTCCCCGCCGGTCTGGGCAGACACCACACGCGCACGATGTTGGCACGTGCACTGGGCCAGCCCCGCCCTTAACGGTGCCTGCGAATTCGCCTTTTCAGTCCTTGTTCCAATGTTACGCAGTCAGGACCATCACAGATGGGGAGACCCCGACAGGCCCCAGCCACGCCGCCCGGAGGCTCACAGTCTCACACAGACGGGGACCCGGCGCGCACGCCCCGCGGGGCTTTGCTCACGGTCTTTGCGTTCAGGAAAGGAAGGGTCGGTGCAGCTTTCCCAAGGCTACCTGAGCAAGGACGCGGCGTCCGCAGAAGTCCCCTCACAGGGTGACTGACACCAAGGCATTAAGCATGAGTAACTGCCAGTAACACTCGGGTGCGGCGTCTTCGGGACGAGAGGGGCACTAGTGCGCGCTCACCCAGGCGCCCGGCGGAGCCCGGGGCCGCGTCGCGCCCACGCGCTGCCCTGCTGAACCCCGCAAGCGCCTCGCGGGCAGTGATGCTGTTTGCCCGCTGCCCTCGGAGCTGCCCAGGACTCGGGGGGCCCAGTGCATTCCAGGTGGGCAGCGGGCCGAGCCTCTGGTCCCCGCGGCTCATCTGTGCTCCGCCCTTCCTGACAGGGAGCCACCACCTGGGGGTCCACATGAAGGCCTTCCAGTGCGTCGGCTCCTGCGACCCCGCCCTCTGGAAGACTCTCTTCAGCCACATCGTATTGTCTGGGGGAACTGGCACCTGCTCAGGCTTGCGGCTCCGGCTGCAGAGAGAAATCTCCACCCTGGTTACCCCGAAGATTAACGTGAAGGTATGGTGCCCCCCACCCTCCCTCTGGGGCTTCCAGAGGTCATTCCACAGATGCTTCTGGAATGCCGCCCACATGGCAGGCACAGTGCCAGGTGTTCAGGGGAGCACCAGTGAACAGAAGGGGCAAAACTCCAGGAGCTTACAATCGAGCGGGGGGAGGAAGCAGTAAGCAATATAGATCTGTCTGCTACAGAAGGTGGTATGTCCGGAGGGGCTAGAAGCTGCAGGTAGGGGGGCAGCAAGGACGGAAGAGGGGAGGAGAGAGCGGTCAGGGTGGTGTCCTCGGGAAGGTGGCCTTTGAGGGAATACTTGAAGGAGGTGAGGGGAGTGTGTGAATATCTGGGGAAGAGCATTCAGGCAGAGGGAACAGCTCACGCAGTGGCTCAGAGGCTTGCTTCCTGGAGGGAGTTCTGGAAAGGGTTGACTGTGCTGAGAGAGGGAGGTGGGTAAACGAGGTCAGAGAAGCCGTGTAAGGCTTTTACCTTGGAAACCACCAGAAGATTTGAGCAGAGCAGTGAGACAACTGGGCTAGGCTCTGGAGGGTGGGTCAGGCTGCCGTGTGGGGATGTGGGTGGTCCAGGCAGAGGTGCTGGTGGCTCAGAGCAGGCGGTGCAGGAGGGAGGTGGTCCAACTCCGAGCATGCTCAAGCAAAGGATACAGGGCTCGCAGAGAGATGTGATGGAAGAGGAGAGAGAGGAGCCAGGGCGTCTCCTGAAGTCCTAGCCTGAGCCATTGGAATGACACAGACGCCATCACTGAGACAGACAAGGTCACTGGAGGAGCAGCCGGGGAAGGTCAGAAGTGGCATTTTAGGCGTGTCCAGTTGGAGATGTCTCCTGTCCGTCAGAGAGCAGAGGTCCAGGAGGGACCAGGAGTTTGGAGGAGGCAGGGGCCTGGGTTCTAGGTGCACACTGGAGTTTTCAGCAGAAGCATGGTGCTCAGAGACCAGAGGGAGGGGTGCCGACAGGGAGGAAGGAGGAGGTCCATATGCAGCCCCCTCGGTCCATCAGGAGAGGCTGGAGGGAGAGGGGTGCTGCCAGGAGCCCAAACCCCAGACCACAGGCAGGAGACCGGGAGAGCAGGCAGCCCGCAGCCAGGGGAGCCCTGAGGGACGGCGGACAGGAAACCGTGCCGCGTCGGCAGGCAGGAGGGGGCTGAGAACTGGCCCCTGGAGTCCCTGGGACTTAGCACCTTCAGTCCCATGAGACGTACCTTTAAGACTGACGTTCAGAGGGGCCTTGAAGGAGGTTTGCTGCCACGAAAGCAGGGAAACGGGGCCACAGGTCAGGGGACTGAGGTCAGGAGGAGCTTGTGCGGTTGTGGTGGTGGTTGTTTTAAGGTGGGAGAACCATCTGCCCGTGTGACCTCCGATGGGACCGATCTGCGGGGAGAGAGAAGCTGAGGATGCAGAGAGGCTCTCCTCCCGGCTCGGGCCCGCAGGAGGCAGCCGGCCCCACAGCACACCTCCGGTTTGGGGAATCGGGGACCCTGCCCTGCCCGCGCCTCCGCCCCTGCCTGCCGTCCTCTCACCGCCATTTAAATTTTATTTGTTTATTTATTTACTTTTAAATGAACAGCTTGCATTTTTTAGAGCAGTTCTAGGTTTACAGGAAAACTGAACAGAAAGCAGGTTCTTGTACAGCCCTCCCTTTACACACCGTCACTCCCGTCATCCTGTCTTGCGTTTGTGCATCGGTCACGACTCACGAGCCACCTGCCAATGCACCGACGCCTGTAGCTGACGTCAAGGCTCACTCCTGCTGTTGCGCACGTGGTGGGTTCGGGGGACGCAAGTCACGTCCCCACCAGTGCCGTGTTCTGCAGAGCAGGTCCACGTGCATCGCGACTGTCACGCAGCCGTCCGCGGTAACCGCGCCCTGTGCAGACCTGCCCGTCCCCGCCTCTGCCCCATCCTGGGACCGCTGACCTGACGACTGCACTGGCCCTGGGGCGTTGCCCTCTCCAGGGTGCCGTGTCGCTGGACCCATGTAGCTGTAAGGTCGTGTGGTTGGAACCCAGCAATATGTAGGTAGCCTTTCACACTGGTTTCTTTTTGACACCACTTTTCAAAGCTGCTTTTCTTCCTTTCTGTTTATGAGATCAGCTCACGGCCATGGTGGAAAACGTATAAGCAAAGTTTAAGCAACGAGCTTGGAATTTCAGTCTCAATTCGCACAGTAAAGAAAGCACGTCCCCACCTCTCCTTCTAACTGGACGGAACCAGCTCGGCGCCCGCCCAGCGCGGTGGCCGGGGATTGGGCGGATGGGGTCCCCAGTGCACTTTTGGTTGAATAAGGGCTTTCCTTGCGCCTCAGGGCCCTGGGCCGAGGGTGGCCCCCGTCCGGCCCTCGTCCGACTGCCCTCTGCTCGCTGCTGCCCTGGTGGCTGTGTGCTTGCCTGGAGCCTCTCCTCCAGCTGCTCCCAGCTGGCCCCAGGCAGGCCGCCCTCCCTTGACTGCAGCGTGCTCGGCCCCTCCCAGAGTGACGCCAACCCCCACGCTGGACCCCTGGCCGAGCTCCATTGGGGTGCAGTGGGCGTGGATGGGGGAGGGCTGGGGTCTCCCAGACACCAGGGAGGGCAGGGGAGTGAGCAGCTGTCTGGGAACCTCCCTTCCTCTGCAGATGTGTCATTTCCCTTCCATATCTGCGCCCACCCGTGAAACAGGACACCCGAGGGGCGCCTCCTCCCAGGGCTGGGGGCCGGAAGCGGGGACTGAACCCCTCTCCCCTTAGCTCCCCCAGCTGCTCTGGGAAGATTCCGTCACCCCTGCCCTCAGCCGCCCCGCTTTCGGATCTGACTTCAGGCAGGGCCCTCTCAGAGCAGCTTTGTGGCTCGAATCCCCAGCGTATCCTCTGCTGCCTCCTGAGCCCTCTCCGGCCCCGTGTCCCCATCCCGCTTCCCTTCCTGGCTCTGCAGAAGGGCCACACAGGGCTCGGTTCTCCCAGCCCTGATGCTTGCAAACAACAGCCCGACTCGGTGGACCTGGGCGATGTTGGAAAGTAGACGTTTGCACAGCAGTGGTCCTTGTTCTGATCCGTGTGGATCCGTCCTCCACCAGAGCCAGTGGGGCAACAGGGGAGAATCAGGAATTTTCTGGAAAGGTGAACATGTCAGCTGGTATTACAGAAATCAACACAAGTCTTCTCGCTTCCAAAGTCGGCAGCCCTCTTTACATGCGTGATACATAAAATTCCATCATGATTATAAAAACTCATGTAATACTGGAGAATTATTTCCATCCCTTCCTTCCTCAGACTGCAGCCCTCATTATAAAACAGGACCCACTGTGACACACACTTGTCCTAGAGATCTGTACCCACCTGTGTTCTTCCTAAGCCCGCAGTCTTCTTTGTATAATTTTATATGATGGTATATAAATACATACAATGTGGGAAAACTGTGACCCCCCGCCTCCTCCCTCCCCAAGGCTGCAGCCCTTTCTCCATCACCTCACATGAAATTATAGACGTGTAGGGACTGTGAGGAAGCTCCCACCGCTCCCAGCTTCTCGCTCTGGAGTCCTCCTTCTCTCCAGGGATGCCTTTCCACTGCCCCTCCTCTCGGCTCCCGGAGCTGCTGCCTATGGCGAACTGTCACCAGACCAGAAAGGAAGGTCCAGCTCAGCCAGCACGGAAAACAAAGGGAACTGTGATGGCATACTCCTGCCCACTTCTTGACCGTGGCTGCAAAGGGCGTCCCTCAGGCTGCCCTCCGACAGCCTTGCCCTCCAGCCTGCGGCTGCGCTGAGGCTCGGGCCAAGGTCTGCCATCCCCCTCTCTGAGCCCTTAATCCCCCAGCCCTCCCCTCAAACTTCTCCACGTGGGGCTGGAAGGCGGGGCCTGTTTCCTGTAACTGCCACAGCCCAGCCCTGCCTCTGCCTAGTCTCTCTCCTGTCTGGACGCTCTCTGGCAGGGAAGGGGGTGCAGACTCACCTTGAATCGTCCACAAGCTCATTAAATTCTCCCCTAATGACGGGAAGAGGGGCGAGGGTATGGCTCAGTGGCAGGGCAGGTGCCCGGCCACCCGAGGTCCTGGGCTCAGTCCTCGGGGCCTCCACTGGGAAAGGGAGCAGCCGAGGCTGGCTGACTCCCCGGGTGTGGAGCAGTGGGTGTGGACGGCTGGCTCCAGACTTAGAGGGGGCTTGGCGGGTCATTTCTGACCGAAGATCACTGTGCGGTTTTGACACACGTCTCAGAGGGAGCTCAGACAATCAGGCAACATCTCCTTATTTATGTGGGAAGGCTCTCAGCATATAAAGCTGCAAAAGAGGAAAAAAGAAATGATGAGAGAATGAATAACCTGATTATCTGCCCCCCAAAAAGATGAAAAGTAAATTAAAAGTAAATAAAAATAAAAAATAAAATAGGTGGACAAAACAATTTTAAAAATTAAAAAAAGAAGAAGAGGAGAAGGGTTCTCTCCCGCAAGCAAGCTCGCCCTCCCTTCCGGGAGCAGCCGCTTCCCACGGGGCCGTCTTTTAAAACAAGAGCTTCTCCCAACAGCCTCAGTCTTGCGATGATAATGTTCTTGCGCTAAATTTTTGGCCGTGGTATCTTCTTATTTCTTTAAGACAGTTTTTCCCTTAGAGCCCATTTCTAGACGGGAATTGCCTGAGCCAGGATGTGCGCAGAGTCCAGGCTTTGGAACACACTGTCCAGGCGCCCACGGAGACACCGAGCCTCCGGTCCTGCCGACGCAGGGGGCAGTGTCCCACCCAGCCCCGCTCAGCGAGCGCGGGCGCCGGAGAGTTAAAGACTCCCAGTTGGACAGATGAAAGATACGTGCTTTACTCTGCATTTCTTTAGCAACTAACGCAGGGACACCTTCCGCACCTGCTGGGCTGCCCGTAGTTTTTCTCTTTTTCTTTTACTTCAGCATCGCTTTGTAATTGCTCGTTCTAACCCTCTGGCCGTTTTTCTGTTGGTGGCTTTGCTTTCTCCTGAACGCACAAGCTGCCCCAGTTTTGCACACACTTTTGCTTGGTTTGGCGTGTCTGTCTGGACAAGACCCAGGCAGGATCTGGGGCTCACACAGGGTGACAGCCTGTTGATGGGAGAAAAGAGGGTCCTGGTGCCTGTTATCAGCGTTTTCCTCTGCCTGATGCCTGACCCTGAATGTGTGTCCCCCCACCCCTGCCCCCACCTCTGACTCTTTCCCTTGTTTATTTTCCTTAAAATTTCAGCCATCTCTCTTGTCTTAACCAATATAACAGATGGTTTCCAAGCCAAGCACAGTTCTGTGGTGGCAGAGCCAGCCAGCACCCATGACTGAATCTGATCATTCATCTTGTCTTATTCCCTGAACTCTGGGTTTTCCAAATCCTCATCGTAAATCCCTTTGCCGTGCATATTCCTGCAGCAAGGTGTCCGTCCCCACCTCTTTTAGAATAATAAACATGTACTATGATATACCTGAGTGCTTTACGGAAAGTCAGTGAATACGTGAGGATGACAACTGCCTGACCTTGAGTAAGTGATTTCACCTTCCAGACCCTCGGTGGTCCTACCTGGCAAACGGGTGTGGAGATGTTTACCTCTTCCCGGCCCAGAGGTGACCTGACTTGAACAAGGAACACTGCTTTCTCCCAACATTGAAACTGAAGGAGACATACACATTACCAAACTCAGGCTTGGCTGCTGGCTGCTCAAAAGCCGATAATCGAGAGGCAAGTGCCAACAGAAAGGAAAGATGCTTTAATCAGAAAGGCAGGCAATCTGGCGAGATGGTGGACTCATGTCCAGAGATACTGCTGAAGATTCTGCTCAGCCGTGAGAGTTTTTAAAGGGAAAAAGGAGGGAGGAATCTCAGTGAATCACTGAGGCAGGAGGTGGAGGTCTGCGTCTTTCTCCATCGCATGCAGACGGGCTGACTCTCTTCAGACGTTTTCTTGTCCGCGTGATCTGCCCACAGAATCGTTGAGGGGGCTGTTGCGGGTTGAGAGACAGTCACTTTTTAACAGCTTAATTCTTTATTCTTACTTCTTATTATCTAGGGAGACAATCACCAGGTTTGGCAGGGCGTGGCGTGTGCCCGGAGAGCAGAGGTCGGGAGCTAGGCTAGATTGCCTAGGGATCTCGTCCTGTAATTAGGTCCTTTCAGGGTTAGAGGGGACAGGAATGGACAAGAGGAAAGGGGGAAAGAGCTGCTTTCATCCACTTGACTGATGTCAGAGCAAGAGCAGGAGTCAAGCAAGAGATAGAGGTGGTCTTAAAGGCGATGCCTGGGGCAGAGGGTCCTCTCTGGGAGGCTCGATCGCTTGGGTTTGTTTCTTTTTTGCTTATCTGTGTTTTCTGTTTTCCACAAAATGCACATGCCTTACAGAGAGTCCCTACCTGAGTGCAAACTGTGTCGTCTATCTCAGAGTGAGTCCAAGAGCCGAGGGCCAGTCCTGTGCCCTTGCTGCTTTCAGCCTCACCTTAAAGCCACAGGCAGCAGGATATGACCATTAAGCATCTTTAAAGTTTGGAATAAACTGTTTCTCAGGGAGAGGGGAGGGGCTGGAGAGGGGGGAATGACTGTGCATGAGGTGCACTCAGGGATTGGTACTTTGTGTCCCTGCTTTAGAACAGTACTTTGATTTTGATTGTGGTTTCTCTCCCTCTCTCCCCCCTGACCCCTCACACCACCCTTGCCTTCTTCTCTTCCCTCCTCCATTCCCCCCTCCCACCTCCTCGACTCTCATCCAGGTGTCCACCTGCCCGCATTCCATATACGGCGCATGGGTAGGAGGCTCCATCCTGTGCTCACTCTCCACCTTCAAGGACATGTGGGTCACCAGCAAGGAGTATAAGGACATCGGCTCCTCCGTCTTCAGTAGGAGAACCCTCTGAGTTGTGGCTGCCTGGACCCCTTCATCTGTCCTGTTAACGCCAGCTTTGAGCTGAGCCTCAGCTTGGCTGAAGTGATCAGTGTTCAGAACCAACTCAAATGTAAGGGTGGCCCTTCCTTCCCCAGACTTGGATAAAAAGGGTTAATAAAGGACAGACAGCCCCTGTGAACAAGGATTGCAGCATCTTGGAAAATGCTCCCAGGACACTCACTACATCAGTGCAGAGTCACGAAGGGAGGGAATTTCTGGCAACCCCTGTGCATCAGTCAGCATGGCTAAGCTGTGCTGCAGTAACAAACATCCCCAAGTCTCAGTGCCATAAAACAAAAGTCTGTTTCTCACCCATGCTACACGTCCACTGAAGGTCAGCAGGGCTCTCTCCTGCTTCACCCTTGCTCCAGAATCCGGCTGACAGAGCAAATACCATCTGGAATGTTGTCATGCACTGTGGGTGTGCATAAGGGTGCCCTGGTGGGCCTTTGATTGGCAACAAAGGAATATACCACACATCTGCACACAATTAATTGTCAGAGCAAGTCACAGGCCCCAAACCACCCTGGGGGCTGGGAAGGGCCACCTGGCCACAGACCCAACCCCCAGCACCGGAAGAATGGCACAGATGCTCTGGTTCATGAGAGCACAGTTGGGACCCATTAACACAAGGGGCATTACGCCCTTCACAGATTCACTCCTGACGTTGCCATGAGGCTGGCTTACTCCAGCCGAGCTCGCGAAGCAGGACCGAAGCTGACAGAGGTTCATTAACTTGAACGAGGCTGTTTTGACAGTGACAGGGAGTGTGGATCTGTAGAGCACACCTAGTAGGAGCACCAGAGGGTGAGAGCGGAGAACTAAGGAGACAAAGTCTGCACAAACATCGGAGGAGCAAGGCCCAACTGGAGGGCCCAAGGAGGCCGTGCGAAGGCCCGGCGAGGGCCCAGCGCAGCAACGGGGCATCCCCGCTGCCCAGTGAAGTTCCACGATGTCAAGGATGCACAGCAAATTCTAGAGGATGTGAGAGAAAACAGCAACAAATAGGTTAACTAGCAAGGGGGGTTACCAGAAGACTCCAGGCTGCCCGGGGAAGCTGCATTCCAGGAGTACAACAAATAGCTTCAGTGTAAGCACGTCCCAAAGATTGCATGCATTTTTATTGCTAAGTCTGGCAACCCTAGTCTTAAAAAAAGAGGCTCCGATCTGCATCAGAATTCTTACCTGCAAAGCTGCTGGCACAAGATAAGAGGACAAAACTGTCAAGAGAAGAAGGATGATCTTTTTTTTAATTGGTGAAGTTGACCAATATCTTTTATTTATTATTTTATTTTTTACTGTAGTATAGTCAGTTACAAGGTGTCAATTTCTGGTAGAAGGATGCTCTTGAGCCGGGAATTTCACACCTCGTCCGACTGGGTTTGGAATGTTGGGGAAAAAAATACTTTGGCAACAGGCAAAGACTCAGAAAATTTACCATCAGGTGCCCTTTCTCTTAAAAAAAAATCAAAGATTGTCTATGAGATGAATAAACAAACAACCTAGGAAGAAACAGTGGTGAGTAAGGAACTGGGCCAAATGGGAGGCACATGTCAGAAAGTGCTGATTCAGAGCTTAAAAAAAAGTCACATACGGAACAAGAAAATCTCAGATGATCTCAAGATGGGGGTGGGGATGGGGTTCAAGGTGGGAACGAGGAAGAAAGTGGATTTGTGGAAAATACGGACATGCGTGGACTCCAGATATTGGCAGGAAAGAAGGTTCGATGTGCACGCTTGTACTTCAAGGAGGACAAGCCACGGCGCCGTCCAGGCCCAGCCTGAACCCGCGAGGTGCTCTCACTCTCTTCGGCGTGAAGAACTGTGCAACCCGCCCCCAGCCCTGCACCGGCGCAGGCAGCTCAGGCCGGGGAAGCCCGCTCCAGCAGCCCCTGCTGTACGTCTCAGTCCTCTTCCGTGGGTGCAATGCCATCGCCGACGTCCAGCATTGGTTTCTTTGGGTTTTTCAGTCATCAGATGTTTCTCTTTTTGCTCCCTGCCCTGAAAATAAGTATCATGATTTCCATCAATCTGAAAATATCAGCAAAAGTTACTTGCCCTCATCTTCCCATTAGCTGCTCACCCAGCACAATGCGGCTGACACGGTGTTTCCATCACAGACGTGCCTCTTTTTTTTTATTTCACTTTTTATTGAAGTGTAGTTGATTTACAATGTCAGTTGCAGGTGTACAACAAAGCGATTCAGTTATGCACGTACATACACATGTATATTTTTTTCAGATTCTTTTCCCGTATAGCGTCTTAGGAGAAACTGAATACAGTTCCCCGAGCTGTACAGCAGGTCCTTGTTGCTCATCTGTTTTACGTACACTAATGTGTATCTGCTAACCCCGAACGCCCAGTTCAGCCCCGCCCACCCATCCCTCTCCCCTTTGGCAACCACAGCTTGGTTTGTGTGTCTGTGAGCCTGTCTCCGGTCTGTACACGGGCTCATTCGACTCGTTCAAACATCGCCCCTCTTCATGACGAGTTTCACTTTGGGTGGCGGTCACTGAAGGCTATGAGTCAGGGCACTGCTAAGGCAGGAAACCTTACGTAATGCTTCTGTTGCCTGTAAGGGGACAATGGAATCTAAGGAGAAGCAGCTGTGCCCTTTATAGTATTCTGCCTTTTCTACCATATGCATTAAACTTGAGACAATTGTTTTAAATAACTTACGGGGAACCCAGGGGAAAGCAGCAGTAGACAGAGCTCACGTAACATGCACTTACAGAGGGAAGTGAAAATAAGGTGATAGATGTGCCAGGAAAAAACCAAAATAGGCAGATGTCAAAGAAACAGAATTCGAGCCAAATCACTGGAAGATCAGAGAGAGATTTCGGCTACCAAGGGTGGGGGAGCAGCCAGCAAGAATACGTCTTGAGTCTTTTCACCTTTCAGGTGCATTTAGCCTCAGGGTACGCCAAGCAAAGGGGATATCGCGCAGGACGTGCGGAGAAGCCCAAGTCAGAGTTAACACGCCCCAAACCGGCCCTTCGTTTCTGTGCAAGGCAGTGACAGCGCCACCCAGAGTCTTTAACGTAGTTCATGACTTTTCTCTTCCATCAAAAGTGTGGCAGATCTTACCCACTCTACCCCCACTCGCCAGCACCTGCTGTTTCCTGTTTGCTTGGCGACAGCCACCCCGTTGGGTGTGACGTGGTGTCTCACTGTCGTTCCACTGAGGGTTCTATGCTGAGGAGTGTGGTGTCCACACTTGTGCTTCAAAGGTCACTCTGGCTGGTGGGCAGTTGCAGGGACGCCAGGCAGGAGGCTGCTGGAAATTCCAGGAGAGGTGACGGTGGCGAGGCTGTGGGAAAACCGGAAAGCTGTGCATTGCTGATGCGAATGTAAAGAAGTGCAGCTACCGTGGAAATCAGTTTGGAAGCTCCTCAAAAAGCTAACACAGGGGCACCATGTGATTTAGCAATTCCACTTCTGAATATAAACCCAAAAGAATTGAAAGTGGGGACTTAAGCCGTATTTGTACACCAGCCACCAAAGCAGCACGACTCACAACAGCCAAAAGGTGGAAACAACCCAAGTGTCCATCGATGGACGAGTGGACACATAAAATGTGGTCCACCCATACGATGGAAAATTACTCGGCCTTGGAAGGGAAGAACATTCTGACACAGCCCACAACACGGACGAGCCTTGGGAGCATCAGGCTCGGTGACACACACGGGACGCAAAGGAACAAGTACCACGTGGTTCCACCAACACGAGGTCCCTAGTGCCGCTAAGTCCGCAGAGACGAAAGTGGGACAGCAGGGGCAGGGGGCTGGGGGAGGGGGTGGGGAGTGGCGTTTAACGGGGAGAGAGTCTCAGTTTTGCCAGATGTTAAAGAGCTCTGGAGATGGATGGGGGCCGGTTGTACAGCACTGTGAACCTGCCTGAGGCAACTGAGCTGTACACTTAAAAATGGTTAAAATGGTCAATTTCATGTTATGTGTATTTTACCACAATAAACGTTTTTTAAAACCCTCCATGGCCTCCCGTCCCAGAAGGAAACGTACAGTCTTGACCCGAGTCTTTGCCGGCATGACCCACTCTGCTGTGGTCTGTGTGACGTCACGCACCCCCCCCACACACACACATGCTCGCCCTCACTCAGAGTCACACTGGCCCGCAGGCTGGTCTGTGAGCATCCAGACTCGCTCCCACCTCAGGGCCGCCACGTCCCTGGGACACAGGGGCCCCAGACTGCTCCTCGCATGACTTACTCCCTCAGTGTGTCAGGTCTCTGGGAAACTCTTTAGCAGAGAGGCTGTCCCTGGTCTCACAGTCCCGCCCACGTCAGTCTGTCCACGTCCCGCTGTCTGTGTCTCTGCTGGCCTTTGTCACTCTCAGAGTTTCCATTTGCCTGTGAGAACTGTCTGCTCTCCAGCTGGAGGGCCCACCCCATACCTCCTCCAAGAGCAGGGACTTTGCATGTCTGCTTGCTGCTGCATGTCAGTCCACCATGGTTGGTCAACAGGTATCTGTTGAACAAATGAGAGATTGAATGAATGAATGAATGAATGGATGAAATGAACAAAAAAATAAGGAAAGCATAATAGGAAATGGGGAAAGTGTGGGAATCGGCAATCTCCAGAAGGGAAAAAGCAGAGGATGATAAAATTATGAATCAACGCACCGACTCACTGAGAGATGTCTTTGGGTTTGGTCAGAGTGTCGATTCTACAAGCTAGGGAGGACCCCCAGGGGTGAGGTGCCGCGCAGGCAGGCGCTGCTCAGGTTGGCCTGAGGGCACAGGAGAGGTGTGGGGAGGGGAGCCTTCCACTGTGGGCGAGCTCACAGGTGCCCCCGAGCACGGCAGAGCTGTGACCTTCACATGACCTTCACCCCCACCCCCGTAAGGGGACATTCGTGTAAGACCCACCACAGTGCTGAACGCGATGCAGGTGGACGTGGGGACAGACCAGGGGAATCAATAAATGACACTTGGTCATATAAATCCTCTAATTCTATGCAAAGGTTAAAAGCAATGGAGTCAAAATACAGAGACGGTTTTGAGATGATCGATCTTAGGAGTCCGCGTTGCCTCCTGGGGAGGGGTGGAGCTGCTAGCTGTCGTGGTTTCACGGTGGGCACATCCATCAGAATCCATCAGATTGTGCATCTGAAATATGTGTTGTTTCCTGTACAGAAGTTATACCACAACAAAGCTGTTTTTGTAAAAGCCTGTGTTGAATTGTTTTTTAAAAATGGAATGAAACCCACAGCCCAGACCATTCTTTACTTTCTATTTGTATAAAGGTATGCATGCACCTACTTTATTTATTTTTATTTATTTTTTATTTTTTTAGTTTTGAACTTTATTTTTTTATTTAAAAAATATTTTAATCACTTAAATGATACAGTTTTTTTGTGTTCTAAAGTTGTACATTATTTTAGCAAACATTCTTTAAAAGACAGTGCCAAGAATCCAAGTGACAAATGATAGGTCTTTTCTTTCTTTTTTTTTTTTTTTTGTTAGGCATACTTTTTTTTTTAACATTTTTATTGAGTTATAATCATTTCACAATGTTGTGTCAAATTCCAGTGTAGAGCACAATTTTTCAGTTAGACATGGACATACATACATTCATTGTGACATTTTTTTCTCTGTGCATGCACCTGGTTTAACGAGGCAGAATGTTCTAGGACGGGGCAGCAGACTTTCTGAAAAGGGCTGGATAGTAAACACTTGCCCACTGTCTCTGTCACGGCGACTCACTCCTGCCTTTCCGGCGCGACAGCCACTGCAGGGAAAACACGAACCAGACATTCTCCTCGGCCGGGATCCCGGATACACTGCCTTGTTCTTACATCACTTTTTTGGGTGCTTTTCTTTTCCTTTCTTTTCTTTTGACACGCCTTCTGCTGGAATGACTCACTTTTCTTTATTCTGCTACTGATTTGGAAGTGTATCTGTTATTTTTCTTTCGTGGCTGCCACAAAGTCTTTACGTCTTGCTGAACGTAAGGTTGGAGGTGGACTTATTAATCCCACCACCTCTGCAGCCTGTGGGTCTCCTTCCTTCCAGCCCCTCCTCCCGTATCTCACTTTTGTGTTTTAATCTGACTTGGATTTGTTCCTTTAAAAGTCCGTTTAGCATGAGTGTGCTGGGGATAAACTCTTATATCTATCTGAGAATGTCTGCATTTTTGCTCACAGTTTTAAAAAAATCTTTATTGAGACATAATCCACATACCATAAAATTCACCCACTTCCTGTGTGTAATTTAGTGTTTTGAGTAGTCACAGTCATGCAACCATCACGGGGATCTAAGTTAAAAGCATTTTCATCTACCCTAAAAGAAAGGCTGTGTCCACCCGCGGTCACTGCCCCCCCTCACCGGCCACTGGCCACCCGCCTTCCCCCGTCTCTGTGGATTTCCCTGTTAAGGACATTTCACAAAAACAGAGTCACACAACGTGGTCTTCCGTATGTGGCTTCTTTCACGTGTGCATCTGTGTTGGAACCCGTGTCAGTAACTTACCGCTGACTGATACCCCATCGTGTGGGCGGACCTCGCTTTGTTTATTCACTCACCCTCTGGCGCTCCCCTCTCCAGCGCAGACCCGTCAGCAGCAGGCACACTCCGCCCTCCGCTCGTGCGCCCCCCGCCCGCTGGCTGGCTGGGAGCCGACCTTCAGCTGCCCTTGAAGATGGAGTCTGGGTCCTGGACGCCCTGCTCAGAGAAGAGGCACCAAGACCGACAGATGCGGAGCAAACATCCTCATGTGGGGTTAAGCCGCTGAGACTGAGGGTTATCTGTTTAAAGGGCGGGTGTTTCCTTAACTGACACACATGTGGAGGCACAAGGCAGGGGGGGAGGGGAGGATAAGCAGTTGGACCCTTTGAGAACTGAAGCCAGCCAGACCTCGATTTTCCAGTTTAATCAGATATTAAATCACAAACCCTCTTTTGGTTATAAGTTTTTATTGAGTTTTTCTTTATCACCTGGGAGCCAAAATGACCCTACGTGATGCATCTTCAATAATCAATTCAAAAATTAAATAGGAAAATGGTGACAAATGTGACAAAACACCTGGCAAAGAAAAGTAAACTAACAAGACATGTGCGAGACCTACATTAGGAAAACCACAAGCTGCTACCGACGAGGCGCAGAAGACTCAAGTACAGCGAAGAGACAGCACCTCGGGGGTGAGAAACCCTGCATAAACTGTCAGCTCTCCCTGCTTCCCCCGGAAATCCAGGGCAGCCCCAATCAAATCCCAGGGAGATTCTTTTGGATGGAGTTTGAAAAGATGATTCAGGGTTCATCTGGAAGAGAAATTACGCAAAACGCCAAGAACCACGTCAGCACGCTCCCTCTTGGGGCGTCCAGAGCGGCCCTCTTGCACAGCAGCCTGCGGCACAGCCCCAGCCACGCCTGCGTCTCAGGTGCCCCTCAGGGAGCCGCTTCCCAGCACCCCAAGCTCGTGGGGCCAAGGGCACCAGGATCCGGGACACAGCGCATCCCGGATGGGAGGTCGGGATGGGTGATACCTGTGTGGTCTAGCGACCGTCCTCCTGGATTTTTCTCTGGATGTGGTTGGATGAGGTTCCTACCTGCCCTCTCCTGCAGGTGCAGGCGTATGACCAAAGCTGACAAGCCCCAGTGGAATGCCACCCAAGCCAGGCCAGTGAGACTCAACTCCAGGACGCTGGCAGTGGGGGAGCTCCCCTCTTAGAGAGGAGAGGAGTCTGGAGCTGCTGGCAGCCCTCAAGCTGCCACCATGGGAGCCTGCTTGAGGGTGAAGCCATTGCAGAACCCAGGGGTGGGGAGGGGAGAAAGAGAGGGAGGAAGAGGTGGGAAGAGAGAGACACTGGGAGACAAAGAGACAGAGACAGGGAAAGAAAATGAAAGGGAAAGACAGAGAGATTCTGATTCCTCACAGCACAGCTTGAACCAGCCAGACCTGAATTCCATACTAGGCTCGCTTGAGAGGCCAATAAATCCCACTTTTAAAAATTAAGTTTGTAATAAAAGATGAGTCACGAGGTCTGTGACCCAACCGCAGGGTTCATGGGTATTTAAGCTCTTCCCTTTCTGTGTATTTGGAGCTGAATCTTGCACTCAGATTTGGGCTTGGACAATCTTTCCCAAATACCAGGCTTCAGAACGCCCCTCCCCCCAGCGATGTGCCCGCCCGCTCGCTCCCTCACTTTCTCGTTCACCAAAAGGCCTCTTCCTGCCAGGGGCTCGTGAGGGCGAGGAGGGTGGAGGTCAGGAAGCCCTGTCTTCAAGTCTCTGTACTTCCATCAGAGAAAGGTAATGTCAAGGAGTTAGGGGGTCTTGGTCTGAACTGGGGGCAACTGAGAAGAAGAGTTGTGCTCACCAAGTGCAGAGGACCCCAGGCCGCTGGGCCACCACCCAGCAGGGGGCAGGGGCTCAGGGGAAAACCAAGGCCACCCTCCACCTCTCTCCCACCCCTCCGACCCCCAGCCAAGCATGGGCAGCTGGGAAGCAGGGTCTCCCCGTTCAGGAGCACAGTGCGCACACAGAGGAGCCGTGTCCCCTCTCAGCACCATGGACAAGGGCCTTCCCTCCCCGAGGCCCGGGACCCTGGCTACCAAAACTCCAGCGTGCTCTGAAAGGGTGGACCGGCAGTTCGCTCTCCACTTGGTTGATGCTCAGCCCCCACCTGCTCCTGTGCCCAGGACTGTCAGGCACAGACGTCCCTGGTGCCCCGAGTGGTGCAGACGCGGGGGCATGCCTGAGCCTGGGGGCCCGAGGATGGATGAGATGGTTGCTGGGGCTTCCTGAGGACCCCGGAGCAGGGTCGGGGCCAGAGAGGCACTCACAGCTTGGGAATGAGGGCAGATGGAACGCAGAGTCTCACCGCAGGGGAGCTGCCTGGCAGGGGTGGGGGCAGAGTTCATGGAACTCCTTCCCCACAGCCAGGCCCAGCCACAGCAGCAACACTGACCAAGGAAGGGATGGCATCCTTATCCTGGACAGTCAGGTAAGGAGCCGTCTCTTCTCCCTCCCTCCCCCAGCAAAGAGGGTGGGACACAAGAGAAACAGACCTTCAACTCTCCTCACTCAGCAGCTACCCTGGCAGAAGTCAGGGCTGGGGCAGTGGGAGGGGACTTAGGCAGAGAGAGACCTGGAATCAAATATTACATTCATCTTCCATCCCTCCACCCACATCTCCCTCCAGTCACACTTTCATCCACCTGCCCATCCATCCGTCTCTCCATCCGTCCATCCATCCATCCCCCTATCCACTCCTCCCTCTAGTCACCCATTCATCCATCTCTCCATCCATCCATCTCTCCATCTCTCCACCTACTCACCCACCCACCCACACCCAGCCACACATTCATCCATTCCTCACTTGGCCAGGGCAGAAGTCAGGGCTGAGACAGTGGGAGCACAGAGGGAGAAAGGCCTGGAATCATATATGACGTCAACGTTGAAAAACAAACAGGACCAAGTTAGAACAACTAAGGAGACTGCCTCAGTCCTAATAAAAGCATGACTTGCTTTATGCCAGTCCTGCGCGAAGGGCTCACCGCGTGTCACCTCCCTCAGTCTGCACTGTGATCGTGGAAGAAGGCGGTGCTATGATTAGCCCCGTTTTAGAGGACCCAAAGGGGAGCACCCAAGGTCACACAGCTAAGGCTCAATGCCGGGCACTTGACCGGCGTGGGTCTGCCTCTCTGTAGTAACCAGAAGTATCTAAATGGTGGCAGAATTGGGGTAAGCCAGTACTCAGGTAACCTGCTGCTCAGGGGGAAAAGCAGGGCTGAGAAGGGGTCTGACAGCACAGTCAGAAGCAAGTACTGGGAAAAAGTGAATCAAGAGTCCTCAAAAATGAGTTTCATATACATGTACCCAGAAATCTGGCTTGCCTGGTTTCTGCAAAGCAGTGTAATTATCAGCATCCAGCAAGTGATTTACATTAACTACTCGAGAGTGAGCTCCTCCTATTAAATACACAACAATTAGTGATCCTAATTGTCCATTATGGCTTAATTGGATGCTGAAAATTGCTTTGTTAAAAGCCAACTGAGGGATTGGGGTAAATAACGGTAAGCTCAGCCCCCAGGTGACGCTCCTGTTCCTGGAGAGTTGGTCCTCGCCCTTGACTAGCTTTCCTCTCTGAGCCCAACGAGTCACGTGCCATGGGCAGCGCAGACCCCATGGATAATCATTCCTGGGGGTCAGCTTGACTTCAGATCTCAGACGATGGGACTCACTATGCTCCAGGCTGGGCAACAGCAGTGAGGGAGGGTGAGGAAGGGTGGTAGGAAGGCTCGAGCTGGGGCTACAGTGTCACTCCCAGGGCTCCCTGACTCAACTGTAACTTCAACTGCAGCACCCTCCCGGGCTCACAGAGGATGCCACTGCAGCTCTGGGTGTGGTCCCTGGTCCAGCCAAGCCTGCATCTGTGCACTTAGAGCTGGATGCTCAGGAATTGAGGCACCAGGCTAGAGAAGATCCAGGCTAGAGAAGATTCCTTTTCTTATTTTCATCCATCCATCCATCCATTCATCATCCATCCATCAAGCATCCATCCATCTATCCATTTATCCTTCCCTCATTCCAACCATTCATCTATCTGTCCATCATCCATCCATCCCTCCCTCCCTCCCCCATCCATCCATCCATTTATCGTCCATGCCTCCATCCATCCATCATCCATCCATCCATCCATCCCTCACTCATTTGTTAAATACTGAGGTCTTTCTACCTAAGGGTATAGGTTTGCAGTCAAAACACTTGTGTTTGTAGTCTGCTTCAAACAGGCTGTATGACCTTAAGCAAGTTACCTAACTTCCTATAGCACAGTTTCTTCATTTGTACAGTGGAGAATACGAATATAGCTGCAGTTGACTCAAAGAGTAATTCCACGTAAGGGGCTTGGAGTAGTGCCTCGTGGGTAATAAGTGCTCAGTAAGTGTTAACTCTTGTTTTAGTATCATTACTTTTTATTGTTGTGGTGAAACTTTATTACATAATATTAAGTTACTTTCCAAAATGGTGGTGTGAATTTACAAGCCCTCGGTAATGCAGAGGAATTTTCATTGCTCTGTCACCTCATTTACAACGCCGTTGTGAGACTTAAATACTTGCCAGTGCAATGGGTGTAAGACTGTATCTCCCTTAGTTGTTGTTTTTAATTGAAGCATCGTCAGTTTACAATTTTGTGTTAATTTCTGGTGTGCAGTATAGTGATTCAGTTATACACATACACATATATATTCCTTTTCATATTCTTCTTCATTATAGGCTAGTACAAGCCATTGGATATAGTTCCCTGTGCTCTACAGAAGGACCTTGTTGTTTATCTATTTTATATATAGTAGTTTTATCTTCAAATCCCGAACTCCCAATTTATCCCTCCACACCCCCTTTTCCTCTCAGTAACCATAAGTTTGTTATCTATGTCTGTGAGTCTGTTTTTGTTTTGTGAAGAAGTTCATTTGTGTCATTTTTTTTAGATTCCTCATTTAAGTGATATCCTGTGGTATTTTTCTTTCTCTTTCTGGCTTACTTCACTTAGTATGACAATCTCCAGATCCATCCATGTTGCTACAGATAGCATTATTTTATTCATTTTTATGGCTGAGTACTATTCCATTGCATAAATATACCACAACTTCTTTATCCAGTCACCTGTTGATGGACGTTTAGGTTGCTTCCTGGCTATTGTAAATAGTGCTGCTATGAACACTGGGGTGCATGCGTCTTATCAAATCAGAGTCCCCGCCAGGTATCCAGGTATATGCCCAGGAATGGGACTGCTAGGTCATATGGTAAGTCTATTTTTAGTTTTTTAAGGAATCCCTATACTGTTTTCCATAATGGCTGCACCAAACTGCATTCCCACCAACAGTGTGGAAGGGTTTCCTTTCCTCCACACCCTCTCCAGCATTTATTCTTTGTGGACTT